CCAACATCTCTCTTAATGGATTTTGCTATGAACAAATGCCAACTGAATCTCATGTTGGAGGTGCACTATTGTATATTAATAAATAAATTGCATATAAACCAAGAAATAATCTGATTATATATAATGCAAAAGAACTAGAATCTATTTTTATTGAAATAGTAAACACGAAAAAAATCTAATATGTTCATTGGCTGTGTATACAGGCATCCAACCATTTCGCTGTATGACTTTAATGCATTCAATCCTTAACTAATAATACTGTCTAAAAAAATCAAAAATATATTTATATTTGGGGACTTTAACTTTATAAAAACTTTATTAAAAAAATCAGTCGTGATCTGCAAAACAGATTGACCTATGGAGTTGCATCTATTTGTAACCAATTGCTTTTACACTTCCATAATATCATATTTTAATAAGAATATAACATTATGGAAACCCATCTAAATCATACACATGTGAGAAACCATTAAAATTATATTATAACCAATTATATTACATTTGTTTTTTTACTTATTTTAAAACTTCTTTGAATTGGATGGAGATGATGATTACAAACAACAACAACTTATCAACTAGCAATCTTAATATAGCTAATGGCTAAAAAAAGATGTTTGTTATACTCAATGTATGGAAGGAAACAAAGACCTTGCGATAAAGCATCGGGCGATGTAAATTTTACGTCGTCCAAGAGCGATTTTGCGTGTAGCTAGGGCTACTTGTGTCGAGCAAAAAATTTTTTGTTTTGTATATTTAAAGATATTTTTGAGCGGAATTTTAATGAAGTAATTTACGATTATTTTAACATTTAATAAAGTATTTTAAAAACCGCAAGCAGTTGATATAAAAGTTTGAATTACAAAAAAATTAAATATGCACATTATTTACAAGTAGAAAATATTCAGATTAAAAAAAAAGTTTAAATCTTTTTAAGCTAACATTATTATATATAAATAAAATTATTCAGCAATAGCAAAGTTGTCAATAAAATTAAACAAAAATACTTTCTTTTAGTTTTAGATTTTTAACTTAAATAATTATTTTACGGGGGTTTGTTAGGTTTTAAAAATTATTCCATAGATTTTAAAATATTTATTAACTGTTAGACGTATTTAAAGTATTTAAGAGTAATTTCGAGGAAACATTTTAAAAATTGGTAAGCACAAATAAAAAAAAAAAAAAGGTTAAATATTAAAACGTATTCTACTTGATTCAATAAAAAAGTAAAGTTGTTAAAATTTTTGTAATAAGTAACTCAAAATAAATTACTTAAATAATAAAAATCGCTTTTTTGTTAAAAGTTACCGAAACTCAACGAAGCGTGCTCAAGAACAGCAGCTGAAAAATAGAACGTCAATAGTTTGATAAGTTTATATAACCTGGTTTTTTTTACCTGGTTTCTACCACTGTAAAGCGAATTTCCACAAACACCTTGAAAAAGGCTCAATAAACGTAAAAAATAAAATAAAAATTAATTCTCATATTTAACCACGTAATGTTTTCTTTTTTTTATTTTAGCGTACCTTTTATTAAATATTGTTCAATATGCAAATTTTTTCGCTGAAATATATCTTTTATACCTATAACATTTTTATTCTAACATTTTATTTTATTTTATTTTACTAGAAATAAAATTCCTTGTAAACATTAAAAATCTATTTAAAACATTCGTTAAAGTTTTTATTCATCACAAGGCCTGGTAAGGCACAATTTTTGTATTCTAAATCATATTTCCTTTTACATTTTAGTAAAAGCTTATTATTTTACAATAACAGCACGTGAAATACGTTGTATTTATTCAATTTGAAATTGCTACTGATAAAAATATTAAAAAAAGGATTGGCAACTTTCACAGTCATTAATAGAGATGACGAAAGAAAAAATAGAACCATAACTGAGCAACACCCAATATTGAGCAATGAAATAAGTATCAGCAAAATAGTCAAATGCCCACTACCTGATAATGAGAGAGTTAAATGCAGTAGTTCATAAATATATATATATATATATATATATATATATATATATATATATATATATATATATATATATATATATATATATATATATATATATATATATATATATATATATATATATATATATATATATATATATGTATATATATATATATATATATATATATATATATATATATATATATATATATATGTATGTATGTATGTATGTATGTATGTATGTATGTATGTATGTATGTATGTATGTATGTATGTATGTATGTATGTATCTATATATATATATATATATATATATATATATATATATATATATATATATATATATATATATATATATATATATATATATATATATATATATATATATATATATATACCGCTTACATTTTTTTTTCAATACTCAACAGAAAAACTTGAAAAGAAATTAAAAAGATTAAGATTTTTCAATTATTTTCTCTAAATTGAAATTTTGTGTATTTTTTTTTTCTTTTTAATTATTCACCTCCCCAAGGCCCGAGGGGGCCACTACAGTCGAGGAGGCTACTCATTTTTTTTTTTTTTTTTTTTTTTTTTTTTTTTTTTTTTAATAAATCGTGGTACAACCCTCTCTCAACTCTTTAACTCCGAAACACGAATCTTGTTCACTACTATATAAAGGATATGTTACTAAAAAAATTTCTAAAAAATTCAAATTAGAAATAAAGTTAAGATAGTTGGTACTTCCAGACATTTTTGGTAAAAAAATGGTTAAAAAAGCAGTAGATGATGCAACTAGATGGCAGATTGTTGCATTAAAACAAAATATAGATAAATCTGACACACAATTAGCAAAAGAGTTGGGTGTTTCACGAAAATGCGTCTCAAAAACTTCTTCATACGAAAGGTTAAATCCAAATCTAAAATTACTCTCCGAGAATTAGCCAAGGATTTAAATAGCTCGTTCAGAAATCATAGTGTTAGCTATGAAACAGTAAGAAAGGTTTTAAAGGAAAAAGGAAAATTTCGTACATTGCTGCTAGGAAGCCACTTTTGATAGTACGAGACCGGTTGAAACGACTGAAATGGTGTCAAGAACATGCCAGTTGGTCAGTAGAAGATTGGGCGAAGTGTATATTCAGTAATAAATCCAATTTGGAGGTCATAAATCGCAAAGGACGAGTTTATGTCAAAAGAAAAGAAATGGAAGAAGTATGACATGCACATGGTATCACCAAGAATACAAGGCGGAGGAGGGTCAGCAGGAGTCTGGGGTTGCATCTCTCATAAAGGTATTGGTCTCTGCAATACGTACACCAGTCGGATCAATCAATATAACTACAAAACAACTATGGAGCAGCTTTTAATTCCATCAGCCCGTGAACTTTTTGGAAGACGCAAATGGATTTTTCAGCAAGATGGGCCTCCTGCACACACTGCCAAGTCAATAAAAGCCTGGTTTTCAGTGAAGAAGATCCAAGTGATGCCCTGGTTAGCCTGATTGCCTGATTTGAATCCGATTGAGAACCTTTGGGCTTGGATGGACCGCCAATTAATGCGCACCAAGCTGACATCGGTTGAGCACTTTAAGCAAGCGATAGAAGAGACATAAGAGTATTCGAAAAGAGTTCTGCATAAAATTGATTGACTCTATGCCTAGGAGAGTTGTTTCATGTATAAAAGCCCGCGGTGGTCATTTTAAATTTTGAAATTTGAATTTTTTTGAAATGCGCTATATTTAACTGATTTTATTTGCTACCCTTACTTTTTGTCTACTTGTTTTTTTTCATTTTTATTTTTTATTTTTTATATTTTTTTTGCAATTTTTTTTACTTAAATTATAAAACATACCTTATTTAATAAAATAAAAAAAAATAATTGAAAAATCTTAATCCGTTTAATTTCTATTCAAGTTTTTCTGTCAAGCATTGAAAAAAAATGTAAGCGGTTCTAAATTTTACTGAAACACTGTACATATTTAATGTGTAGCCTTTATTTTATTTTGTTATATTTTGATTTTAATGCAATCTATATCTTTTATATTTTCATTTGTATCTGTTTCATATAACTTCAAATAAACTTAAAGATTAAAAAAATATTTTTTTTTCTTAAAGCATTCTATGATAATTACTGTCTCCTAGGCTAAAACCTGTTTAACTCAAAAGAATAATGCAACCTGGAACTATATTATTATTTAAACAAAAAAACTGTTATAAACTTTATATCTTAAAAACTTATCAAGACAATATTGTTTTTTTATTAATTTTCAATAATAAAAATTGATAACCTAAAATACTCAATATATGCCTTAATTTACAATATTGGTAACTATAATATGCCAATATTTCCCAGTATTATATCCCCAACATTAGAGTATTACTATTTACAAAAATTACACAATATTGTACACTTTATCGCGCCAAAATTGCAATGTGATAATTTTACAAAAATTAGCGCAATGTTAGCGGTACAATATCAGCGCATTATTGTACCGCCAATATTGACTTAAAATTATTAGAGCAATATTGTACTGCCAATATTAGCAAAATGTTCACAAGGAAATAATGCCCTAATATAACCAATATTGAGCCAATAATGTGCTAATATTATTTGCTACTTTAGTTATATGTTTCAATGCAACTCCTTTTGCAAGTTACTAACTATTTTAAAACAATAACAACAAGTTTAATTCACAATAACATCTAGGTTTTACATTTTTATGAAAGGTCTAATTATTAAAAAATGTAAGAAAGATTTTTATTTAAACAAAATGAAAGAGTAAAATTTACAGTAACTTTAATGTATTCCAAAAAAACAACTCTTTGTAAGTTGCTAACTATTTTTAAAAAGTAACAAAAAAAAAAACAACGTAAAAAACAATTTTTTAAAATAATTATGAGAATTCAGTGTTCTTACATATGAAAAGTTATATGTATATATACTACCATTTTGGAATAACCTTTTCTTAAATTAAAAAGAGAGTAGGAATTCAAACAAAAAAACACACAATAAACGAAAACTATTAAACTCCACACAAAAACATACCTTGAGTTGTTTCTGCTGGCTCATCTGTATCTACAAAGCAAATACATAATTTATTTAACTATTGTCAGCTCAAAAACTATATCCTTGTTATATGCTATGAAAAACTTATGAGTTTCATTTAAACAATGTTAGTGAGTTCATTTTACAACAAATTTCTGGTTATCCTTAGAAACATAATATTTTGCACCAATAAATATTGTCAAACATGAAATAAAGAAAAAAAACATCTTGCAAACTTATTATTATATGTATTAGCAAAATAATTTGAAAAAAAAAATTATTGTACAAAATTTCAAAAAAAAATTATTTTCCCTGAGTTTTCCTTGAATTTTATAAAAACTTAAAAAAAAATCCCAGAGTTTTCCAGGTTTTCCCTGGGATTCATGCCAGGTATTCCAAGTTTTCCAGGATAAGAGGCAAACCTGTACTGGCTTAAAAACTAAATTCTATTTACACATTAAAAAATGATTGTTACCTTCAGCAAAACTATAACAACAAGTAAATTTTACAATAACTTCTAGGTTGTACATTTTTATGAAAAGTGCTATTTATTAAAAAAATGAGAAAGATTTTTATTTGAACGATATGAAAGGGCATAAATTATAGCAACTATTTTTGAAAAGTAAAAAAAAACAAAAAACAAACAAAAAAAAAAAAACATCTTAAAATAATTATAAAAACTCAGTGTTATTACATAAAAAAAGTTATATGTACATAAATCTCTACACATAAACATACCTTGAGTTTTTGGTGTTAGGTTTTTTTTGCCTACAAAATAAGAACAAATGTTAACTATTGCAGCTTAAAAATTGAATCCTCGTTATTTGATTCATTTTTATTTATTTAAATTTTCATGCAATATTTTTCTATACAACGTTATATCTGAAGATATTGCTGGCTTAGCATAGGAACTGCCAAAAAAAGTCATTAAGACTAACCCAAAGAAGTGTACGTTATTGACAAACATTTTTGCATACAAAAGTACTACTCATACACTGAGTCGGTGGTGGCAGAAATTAAACGCGTAACGAACAATAGGCCAGGTTTTAACTTTTCATTCTACGCTCTAACAAACTGAGCTAACCAGCCATATTATATGTTATGAAAACGTTATATGTTATGAAAAACTAAATGTTAGATGTTATGAAAAACTTGTGGGCTTTCTTTAAACAATGTTACTGAGTTTAATTTACAACAAATTTCAGTTTATACTTAGAAACTTAATATTTGTCAACAATAAATATTGTCAAACATGAAATAAATAAAAACAATATTATTCTAAATAAAAAATATAACCATTTTTTCATATACATGAGCGTTCATTAATAAAATCTACTTAAATGGAAAACAGTACTGGCTTGAAAACTAAATTCTACTAATGCATTATAAAATGATTGTTAACTTCAGCGAAACAATAACAAAAAGATAATTTTACATAATAACTATTAGGTTGTAAATTGAAACATTTTCATGAAAAGTGCAACTTATCTAAAAATGTAAGAAAGATTTTTATTTAAACAAAATGAAAGAGTAAAATTTACAGTAACTTTAATGTATTCCAAAAAAACAACTCTTTATAAGTTGCTAACTATTTTAAAAAATTAACAAAAAAAAACAACATAAAAAACAACTTCATAAAATAATTATGAGAATACAGTTTTATTACACCAGAAAAGTTATATGTATATATACTACCATTTTTGAATAACATTTTCTTATATTAAAAAAGGAAAAAGAAACTCAAACAAAAAAACGCACAATAAATAAACAACTATTTAACACCGCACAAAAACATACTTTGAATTTTTTCTGCTAGCTCATCTGTTCCTACAATGCAAAAACAAAAATTATTTAAAACTATTGTCAGCTCAAAAATTATATCCTTGATATATGTTATGAAAAACGATTGAAGTATATTTAAACAATGTTACTGAGTTCATTTTACAACAAATTTCAGCATATATTTAAAAACTTAATATTTGTCAACAATAAATATTGTCAAACATAAAATAAATAAAATGTAAATATTTTAAAATAAATAAAAAAACATATTTTCATATACAAGAGCATTCATTAACAAAATCTACTTATATGGAAATAAGTACTGGCTTGAAAACTAAATTCTATTTATACATTATGAAATGACTTTTAACTTCAGTGAAACAATAACAACAAGTTTATTTTACAAAAACTTCTAGGTTGTACATTGAAACATTTTTATGAAAAGTTTTATTTATCTAAAAATGTGAGAAAAAATTTTAATTAAACAATATGAAAGAGCATATTATACAGTAACTTAAATTTATTATAAATAAGCTCTTCTCTGTAAGTTGGTAACTATTTTAAAAAAGTAACACAAAAACAAACAAAAAAAACAACTTCTTTAAATAATTATGAGAATAAAGTATTATTACACAATTAAAGTTATATGTATATATACTACCATTTTGGAATAACCTTTTCTTAAATTAAAAAGAAAGAAGGAACTCATACAAAAAAACACACAATAAAAAACAACTATAAAACACCGCACAAAAACATACTTTGAGTTTTTTCTGCTAGCTCATCTGTTCCTACAGTGCAAAAACAAAAATTATTTAAAACTATTGTCAGCTCAAAAATTATATCCTTGATATATGTTATGAAAAACTTAAGAACATTATTTAAACAATGTTACTGAGTTCATTTTACAACAAATTTCAGCATATATTTAAAAACTTAATATTTGTCAACAATAAATATTGTCAAACATAAAATAAATAAAAATGTGAATATTTTAAAATAAATAAATAAACATATTTTCATATACAAGAGCATTCATTAACAAAATCTACTTATATGGAAATGAGTACTGCCTTGAAAACTAAATTCTATTTATACATTATAAAATGACTTTTAACTTCAGTTAAACAATAACAACAAGTTTATTTTACAATAACTTCTAGGTTGTGCATTAAAATATTTTTAAAAAAGTTACTATTTATTAAAAAATAAGAGAAAGATTTTAATTTAAATAATATGAAAGAGTATAATTTACAGTAACTTTCAAAAAAAACTTCTCTTTATAAGTTGGTACTTATTTAAAAAAAAAAACATCTTCTTAAAATAATTATGAGAACTCAGTGTTATTACACAACAATAGTTATATGTACATAAATTACCATTTAGGAAGAACCTTTTTTTTAATTAAGAAAAGAGAAGGAATTCATACAAGAAAACACACAACAAAAAACAACTATAAAACTCTACACAAAAACATACCTTCGGAAGTTTCTGCTGGCTCATGTGTTTCTACAAAGCAAAAACAAAATTTATTTAACTACTGTATGCTAGAAAATTATATCCTTGTTGTATATTACGAAAAACTTATGAGTTTCATTTAAACAATGTTACTGAGTTCATTTTACAACAAATTTCAGCATATGCTTAGAAACTTAAAATTGGGCAACAATATATATTGTCAAAAATAAAATAAATAAAAATGTGAATGTTTTAAAATAAATAAATAAACATATTTTCATATACAAGAGCATTCATTAACAAAATCTACTTATATGGAAATGAGTACTGCCTCGAAAACTAAATTCTATTTATACATTATAAAAAGATTGTTAACTTTAGAGAAACTATAACAACAAGTTTATTTTACAATAACTTCTAGGTTGTACATTGAAACATTTTTATAAAAAGTTCTATTAATCTAAAAATGTGAGAAAGATTTTTAATTAAACAATATGAAAGAGCATAATTTACAGTAACTTTCAAAAAAACTTCTCTTTATAAGTTGGTAATTATTTAAAAAAAAAAAAACATCTTCTTATAATAATTATGAGAACTCAGTGTTATTACACAACAAAAGTTACATGTACATAAATTACAATTTAGGAAGAACCTTTTCTTTAATTAAAAAAAGAGAAGGAATTCAAACAAGAAAACACACAACAAAAAATAACTATAAAACTCTACAAAAAAACATACCTTGAGAAACTTTTGCTGGCTCATGTGTTCCTACAACGCAAAAACAAAATTTATTTAACTACTGTAAGCTAGAAAATTATATCCTTGTTGTATATTACGAAAAACTTATGAGTTTCATTTAAACAATGTTACTGAGTTCATTTTACAACAAATTTCAGCTTATGCTTAGAAACTTAAAATTGGGCAACAATATATATTGTCAAACATAAAATAAATAAAAATGTGAATATTTTAAAATAAATAAATAAACATATCTTCATATACAAGAGCATTCATTAACAAAATCTACTTATATGGAAATGAGTATTGCCTTGAAACCTAAATTCTATTTATACATTATGAAAAGATTGTTAACTTCAGAGAAACTATAACAACAAGTTTATTTTACAATAACTTCTAGGTTGTACATTGAAACATTTTTATGAAAAGTTCAATTTATCTAAAAATGTGAGAAAGATTTTTAATTAAACAATATGAAAGAGCAAATTTTACTGTAACTTTAATTTATTTCAAATAAGCTCCTCTCTGTAAGTTGGCAACTATTTTAAAAAAGTTACAAAAAAACAAACAAAAAAAAACAACTTCTTAAAATAATTATGAGAATTCAGTGTTATTACACAAGTAAAGTTTTATGTATATATACTACCATTTTGGAATAACCTTTTCTTAAATTAAAAAGGGAGAAGGAACTCAAACAAAAAAACGCACAATAATAAACAACTTTAAAACACCGCACAAAAACATACAACAAAAAACAACTATAAAACTCTACACAAAAACATACCTTGAGAAGTTTCTGCTGGCTCATGTGATTCTACAATGCAAAAACAAAATTTATTTAATAACTCTAAGCTAGAAAATTATATCCTTGTTGTATATTACGAAAAACTTATGAGTTTCATTTAAACAATGTTACTGAGTTCATTTTACAACAAATTTCAGCTTATGCTTAGAAACTTAAAATTGGGCAACAATATATATTGTCAAACATAAAATAAATAAAAATGTGAATATTTTAAAATAAATAAATAAACATATTTTCATATACAAGAGCATTCATTAACAAAATCTACTTATATGGAAATGAGTATTGCCTTGAAACCTAAATTCTATTTATACATTATGAAAAGATTGTTAACTTCAGAGAAACTATAACAACAAGTTTATTTTACAATAACTTCTAGGTTGTACATTGAAACATTTTTATGAAAAGTTCAATTTATCTAAAAATGTGAGAAAGATTTTTAATTAAACAATATGAAAGAGCAAATTTTACTGTAACTTTAATTTATTTCAAATAAGCTCCTCTCTGTAAGTTGGCAACTATTTTAAAAAAGTTACAAAAAAACAAACAAAAAAAACAACTTCTTAAAATAATTATGAGAATTCAGTGTTATTACACAAGTAAAGTTTTATGTATATATACTACCATTTTGGAATAACCTTTTCTTAAATTAAAAAGGGAGAAGGAACTCAAACAAAAAAACGTACAATAATAAACAACTATAAAACACCGCACAAAAACATACAACAAAAAACAACTATAAAACTCTACACAAAAACATACCTTGAGAAGTTTCTGCTGGCTCATGTGTTTCTACAACGCAAAAACAAAATTTATTTAACTACTGTAAGCTAGAAAATTATATCATTGTTGAATATTAGAAAAACTTATGAGTTTCAAGTAAACAATGTGACTGAGTTCATTTTACAACAAATTTCAGCTTATGCTTAGAAACGTAAAATTGGGCAACAATATATATTGTCAAACATAAAATAAATAAAAATGTGAATATTTTAAAATAAATAAATAAACATATTTTCATATACAAGAGGAGTCATTAACAAAATCTACTTATATGGAAATGAGTACTGCCTCGAAAACTAAATTCTATTTATACATTATAAAAAGATTGTTAACTTCAGAGAAACTATAACAACAAGTTTATTTTACAATAACATCTAGGTTGTACATTGAAACATTTTTATGAAAAGTTCTACTTATCTAAAAATGTGAGAAAGATTTTTAATTAAACAATATGAAAGAGCATATTTTACAGTAACTTTCAAAAAAACTTCTCTTTATAAGTTGGTAACTATTTAAAAAAAAAACATCTTCTTAAAATAATTATGAAAACTCAGTGTTATTACACAACAAAAGTTACATGTACATAAATTACCATTTAGGAAGAACCTTTTCTTTAATTAAAAAAAGAGAAGGAATTCAAACAAGAAAACACACAACAAAAAATAACTATAAAACTCTACAAAAAAACATACCTTGAGAAATTTTTGCTGGCTCATGTGTTCCTACAACGCAAAAACAAAATTTATTTAACTACTGTAAGCTAGAAAATTATATCCTTGTTGTATATTACGAAAAACTTATGAGTTTCATTTAAACAATGTTACTGAGTTCATTTTACAACAAATTTCAGCATATATTTAAAAACTTAATATTTGTCAACAATAAATATTGTCAAACATAAAATAAATAAAAATGTGAATATTTTAAAATAAATAAATAAACATATTTTCATATACAAGAGCATTCATTAACAAAATCTACTTATATGGAAATGAGTACTGCCTTGAAAACTAAATTCTATTTATACATTATAAAATGACTTTTAACTTCAGTTAAACAATAACAACAAGTTTATTTTACAATAACTTCTAGGTTGTGCATTAAAATATTTTTAAAAAAGTTACTATTTATTAAAAAATAAGAGAAAGATTTTAATTTAAATAATATGAAAGAGTATAATTTACAGTAACTTTCAAAAAAAACTTCTCTTTATAAGTTGGTACTTATTTAAAAAAAAAACATCTTCTTAAAATAATTATGAGAACTCAGTGTTATTACACAACAATAGTTATATGTACATAAATTACCATTTAGGAAGAACCTTTTTTTTAATTAAGAAAAGAGAAGGAATTCATACAAGAAAACACACAACAAAAAACAACTATAAAACTCTACACAAAAACATACCTTCGGAAGTTTCTGCTGGCTCATGTGTTTCTACAAAGCAAAAACAAAATTTATTTAACTACTGTATGCTAGAAAATTATATCCTTGTTGTATATTACGAAAAACTTATGAGTTTCATTTAAACAATGTTACTGAGTTCATTTTACAACAAATTTCAGCATATGCTTAGAAACTTAAAATTGGGCAACAATATATATTGTCAAAAATAAAATAAATAAAAATGTGAATGTTTTAAAATAAATAAATAAACATATTTTCATATACAAGAGCATTCATTAACAAAATCTACTTATATGGAAATGAGTACTGTCTCGAAAACTAAATTCTATTTATACATTATAAAAAGATTGTTAACTTTAGAGAAACTATAACAACAAGTTTATTTTACAATAACTTCTAGGTTGTACATTGAAACATTTTTATAAAAAGTTCTATTAATCTAAAAATGTGAGAAAGATTTTTAATTAAACAATATGAAAGAGCATAATTTACAGTAACTTTCAAAAAAACTTCTCTTTATAAGTTGGTAATTATTTAAAAAAAAAAAAACATCTTCTTATAATAATTATGAGAACTCAGTGTTATTACACAACAAAAGTTACATGTACATAAATTACAATTTAGGAAGAACCTTTTCTTTAATTAAAAAAAGAGAAGGAATTCAAACAAGAAAACACACAACAAAAAATAACTATAAAACTCTACAAAAAAACATACCTTGAGAAACTTTTGCTGGCTCATGTGTTCCTACAACGCAAAAACAAAATTTATTTAACTACTGTAAGCTAGAAAATTATATCCTTGTTGTATATTACGAAAAACTTATGAGTTTCATTTAAACAATGTTACTGAGTTCATTTTACAACAAATTTCAGCTTATGCTTAGAAACTTAAAATTGGGCAACAATATATATTGTCAAACATAAAATAAATAAAAATGTGAATATTTTAAAATAAATAAATAAACATATCTTCATATACAAGAGCATTCATTAACAAAATCTACTTATATGGAAATGAGTATTGCCTTGAAACCTAAATTCTATTTATACATTATGAAAAGATTGTTAACTTCAGAGAAACTATAACAACAAGTTTATTTTACAATAACTTCTAGGTTGTACATTGAAACATTTTTATGAAAAGTTCAATTTATCTAAAAATGTGAGAAAGATTTTTAATTAAACAATATGAAAGAGCAAATTTTACTGTAACTTTAATTTATTTCAAATAAGCTCCTCTCTGTAAGTTGGCAACTATTTTAAAAAAGTTACAAAAAAACAAACAAAAAAAACAACTTTTTAAAATAATTATGAGAATTCAGTGTTATTACACAAGTAAAGTTTTATGTATATATACTACCATTTTGAAAAAACCTTTTCTTAAATTAAAAAGGGAGAAGGAACTCAAACAAAAAAACGTACAATAATAAACAACTATAAAACACCGCACAAAAACATACAACAAAAAACAACTATAAAACTCTACACAAAAACATACCTTGAGAAGTTTCTGCTGGCTCATGTGTTTCTACAAAGCAAAAACAAAATTTATTTAACTACTGTAAGCTAGAAAATTATATCATTGTCGTATATTAGAAAAACTTATGAGTTTCAAGTAAACAATGTTACTGAGTTCATTTTACAACAAATTTCAGCTTATGCTTAGAAACGTAAAATTGGGCAACAATATATATTGTCAAACATAAAATAAATAAAAATGTGAATATTTTAAAATAAATAAATAAACATATTTTTATATACAAGAGGATTCATTAACAAAATCTACTTATATGGAAATGAGTATTGCCTCGAAAACTAAATTCTATTTATACATTATGAAAAGATTGTTTACTTCAGAGAAACTATAACAACAAGTTTATTTTACAATAACTTCTAGGTCGTACATTAAAACATTTTTATGAAAAGTTCTATTTATCTAAAAATGTGAGAAAGATTTTTAATTAAACAATATGAAAGAGCATATTTTACAGTAACTTTCAAAAAAACTACTCTTTATAAGTTGGTAATTATTTTAAAAAAAAAACATCTTCTTAAAATAATTATGAGAATTCAGTGTTATTACACAACAAAAGTTATATGTACATAAATTACCATTTAGGAAGAACCTTTTCTTTAATTAAAAATAGAGAAGGAATTCAAACAAGACAACACACAACAAAAAACAACTATAAAACTCTACAAAAAAACATACCTTGAGAAGTTTTTGCTGGCTCATGTGTTCCTACAACGCAAAAACAAAATTTATTTAACTACTGTAAGCTAGAAAATTATATCCTTGTTGTATATTACGAAAAACTTATGAGTTTCTGCCTCGAAAACTAAATTCTATTTATACATTATAAAAACATTGTTAACTTCAGAGAAACTATAACAACAAGTTTATTTTACAATAACATCTAGGTTGTACATTGAAACATTTTTATGAAAAGTTCTACTTATCTAAAAATGTGAGAAAGATTTTTAATTAAACAATATGAAAGAGCATATTTTACAGTAACTTTCAAAAAAACTTCTCTTTATAAGTTGGTAACTATTTAAAAAAAAAACATCTTCTTAAAATAATTATGAAAACTCAGTGTTATTACACAACAAAAGTTACATGTACATAAATTACAATTTAGGAAGAACCTTTTCTTTAATTAAAAAAAGAGAAGGAATTCAAACAAGAAAACACACAACAAAAAATAACTATAAAACTCTACAAAAAAACATACCTTGAGAAGTTTTTGCTGGCTCATGTGTTCCTACAACGCAAAAACAAAATTTATTTAACTACTGTAAGCTAGAAAATTATATCCTTGTTGTATATTACGAAAAACTTATGAGTTTCATTTAAACAATGTTACTGAGTTCATTTTACAACAAATTTCAGCTTATGCTTATAAACTTCAAATTGGGCAACAATATATATTGTCAAACATAAAATAAATAAAAATGTGAATATTTTAAAATAAATAAATAAACATATTTTCATATACAAGAGCATTCATTAACAAAATCTACTTATATGGAAATGAGTATTGCCTCGAAAACTAAATTCTATTTATACATTATGAAAAGATTGTTTACTTCAGAGAAACTATAACAACAAGTTTATTTTACAATAACTTCTAGGTCGTACATTGAAACATTTTTATGAAAAGTTCTATTTATCTAAAAATGTGAGAAAGATTTTTAATTAAACAATATGAAAGAGCATATTTTACAGTAACTTTCAAAAAAACTACTCTTTATAAGTTGGTAATTATTTTAAAAAAAAAACATCTTCTTAAAATAATTATGAGAATTCAGTGTTATTACACAACAAAAGTTATATGTACATAAATTACCATTTAGGAAGAACCTTTTCTTTAATTAAAAATAGAGAAGGAATTCAAACAAGACAACACACAACAAAAAACAACTATAAAACTCTACAAAAAAACATACCTTGAGAAGTTTTTGCTGGCTCATGTGTTCCTACAACGCAAAAACAAAATTTATTTAACTACTGTAAGCTAGAAAATTATATCCTTGTTGTATATTACGAAAAACTTATGAGTTTCTGCCTCGAAAACTAAATTCTATTTATACATTATAAAAACATTGTTAACTTCAGAGAAACTATAACAACAAGTTTATTTTACAATAACATCTAGGTTGTACATTGAAACATTTTTATGAAAAGTTCTACTTATCTAAAAATGTGAGAAAGATTTTTAATTAAACAATATGAAAGAGCATATTTTACAGTAACTTTCAAAAAAACTTCTCTTTATAAGTTGGTAACTATTTAAAAAAAAAACATCTTCTTAAAATAATTATGAAAACTCAGTGTTATTACACAACAAAAGTTACATGTACATAAATTACAATTTAGGAAGAACCTTTTCTTTAATTAAAAAAAGAGAAGGAATTCAAACAAGAAAACACACAACAAAAAATAACTATAAAACTCTACAAAAAAACATACCTTGAGAAGTTTTTGCTGGCTCATGTGTTCCTACAACGCAAAAACAAAATTTATTTAACTACTGTAAGCTAGAAAATTATATCCTTGTTGTATATTACGAAAAACTTATGAGTTTCATTTAAACAATGTTACTGAGTTCATTTTACAACAAATTTCAGCTTATGCTTATAAACTTCAAATTGGGCAACAATATATATTGTCAAACATAAAATAAATAAAAATGTGAATATTTTAAAATAAATAAATAAACATATTTTCATATACAAGAGCATTCATTAACAAAATCTACTTATATGGAAATGAGTATTGCCTCGAAAACTAAATTCTATTTATACATTATGAAAAGATTGTTTACTTCAGAGAAACTATAACAACAAGTTTATTTTACAATAACTTCTAGGTCGTACATTGAAACATTTTTATGAAAAGTTCTATTTATCTAAAAATGTGAGAAAGATTTTTAATTAAACAATATGAAAGAGCATATTTTACAGTAACTTTCAAAAAAACTACTCTTTATAAGTTGGTAATTATTTTAAAAAAAAAACATCTTCTTAAAATAATTATGAGAATTCAGTGTTATTACACAACAAAAGTTATATGTACATAAATTACCATTTAGGAAGAACCTTTTCTTTAATTAAAAATAGAGAAGGAATTCAAACAAGACAACACACAACAAAAAACAACTATAAAACTCTACAAAAAAACATACCTTGAGAAGTTTTTGCTGGCTCATGTGTTCCTACAACGCAAAAACAAAATTTATTTAACTACTGTAAGCTAGAAAATTATATCCTTGTTGTATATTACGAAAAACTTATGAGTTTCATTTAAACAATGTTACTGAGTTCATTTTACAACAAATTTCAGCTTATGCTTAGAAACTTAAAATTGGGCAACAATATATATTGTCAAACATAAAATAAATAAAAATGTGAATATTTTAAAATAAATAAATAAACATATTTTCATATACAAGAGCATTCATTAACAAAATCTACTTATATGGAAATGAGTACTGCCTTGAAAACTAAATTCTATTTATACATTATGAAAAGATTGTTAACTTCAGAGAAACTATAACAACAAGTTTATTTTACAATAACTTCTAGGTTGTACATTGAAACATTTTTATGAAAAGTTTAATTTATCTAAAAATGTGAGAAAGATTTTTAATTAAACAATATGAAAGAGCATATTTTACAGTAACTTTAATTTATTTCAAATAAGCTCCTCTCTGTAAGTTGGCAACTATTTTAAAAAAGTTACAAAAAAACAAACAAAAAAAAACAACTTCTTAAAATAATTATGAGAATTCAGTGTTATTACACAAGTAAAGTTTTATGTATATATACTACCATTTTGGAATAACCTTTTCTTAAATTAAAAAGGGAGAAGGAACTCAAACAAAAAAACGCACAAATAATAAACAACTATAAAACACCGCACAAAAACATACAACAAAAAACAACTATAAAACTCTACACAAAAACATACCTTGAGAAGTTTCTGCTGGCTCATGTGATTCTACAAAGCAAAAACAAAATTTATTTAATAACTCTAAGCTAGAAAATTATATCCTTGTTGTATATTAGAAAAACTTATGAGTTTCAATTAAGCAATGTTACTGAGTTCATTTTACAACAAATTTTAGCTTATGCTTAGAAACTTAAAATTGGGCAACAATATATATTGTCAAACATAAAATAAATAAAAATGTGAATGTTTTAAAATAAATAAATAAACATATTTTCATATACAAGAGCATTCATCAACAAAATCTACTTATAAGGAAATGAGTACTGCCTTGAAAACTAAATTCTATTTATACATTATGAAAAGATTGTTAACTTCAGAGAAACTATAACAACAAGTTTATTTTACATAAACTTTTAGGTGATACATTAGAGCATTTTTATTTAAATTGTTATTTATTTAAAAAAATAGGAGAAAGATTTTTATTTAAACAATATAAAAGAGTTTAATTTACAGTATTTTTATGTATTTTTATGTATTTAAATGAAACTTTTTTTTGTAAGTTGCTAATTAGTTTTAAAAAGAAACGCAAAAAAAAAAAAAATACATCTTATAATAATTATGAGAACTCAGTGTTATTACACAAGAAAAGTTATATGTACATATATTACCCTTTATAAAGAACCTTTTCTTCAATTAAAAAAAAAAAGAATTCAAAGAAGAAAACACACAATAAAAAACAACCATAAATCTCTACACAAAAACATACCTTGAGTTTTTGGTGTTAGGTTTTTTTTGCCTACAAAATAAGAACAAAATTTAACTATTGCAGCTTAAAAATTGAATCCTCGTTATTTTATTCATTTTTATTTATTTGAATTTTCATGCAATATTTTTCTATACAATGTTATATCTGAAGATATTGCTGGCTTAGCATAGGAACTGCCAAAAAAAGTCATTAAGACTAATCCAAAGAAGTGTTTATTGACAAACATTTTTGCATACAAAAGTACTACTCATACACTGAGTTGGTGGTGGCAGAAATTGAACGGGTAACGTACAATTTCTGCCACCACCAACTCAACTATGTATGTATGTATGTATGTATGTATGTATGTATGTATGTATGTATGTATGTATGTATGTATGTATGTATGTATGTATGTATGTATGTATGTATGAGGAATATGTGTTTTATTTTTATGTTGTAAGGATTTACATACATATATACAGCTATACCACACGCATCCCTCACCACCCTCACGAGATCTCTAAGAATGTTAGAGCTGTTTTTAAAAAACTGGGATAGGGATTTGGTTTTTTGGCTTTTGTAGTGTAGTCCTATTATATTGCAATATTGACTAGCATGACACAAGTGCAGGCGGTGAGATCTGTTGCTAGGACACGCCCCTGTCAAGTGGCGTTAGTTCAGGTCTCGGGCTCTCTGAAACGTCATTAGTGATCGCAGTGCATTACTGAGGAGGGGGATCACCATTTATCCACTACTTAATTCTTATTGGTTATTATGGCACCAACAATTTTTTACCTCTTTAACCCATGTATTTTTGCGCTTTGTGAGCTTTTTATTATGTATTTGTTACATTTACGACATTTATATTTTTATGTTACACAGGTGATTATCAGTTCTCAATTTTTTATCTTGAGTTTAGAACATATATAGTACCACATTTATTTACCATATTATTATATATACCATATTATTAGACATTTGTATGGTGCGATTATTTTAGTTATGAATACCATTATAAACCAGCGGATTTTTATTGACTTGTTTACTCATAGATCATTGTTTCATCATTTGTTAAAAGATGACTAGAGTGTGAGTTTTTGTTCCTTTTTTCCTGAATTGCTAACTTTTACTCCTCCTACTAAATAGTCTTTGCATTAATTTATGTTCTTTTTACTTAAATAACATCATCTTCAATCTGTTTTTATTTTCACATCTCCCAGGTCTACGTAACTGGACGTCTCCGTTGGTCACTTTTTGCGATCATTGTGTTGCATAAGCAAAAAAAAAAAAAAAAAAAATTACAATATACTTTGTTGCTTTTTCTAATAATTGTGAATAAATATATAAATAAATACTCTTTTATTTTACATTTTATTATTTTGGAATAACTAAAAATAATTATAGAAAGGGGCGGTATAGAGCAGACTTATTAAGACATTATTTTAAGGTTCAGGACAGCTAGTATATATTAACACACACAAACAAAGAAAAAAAAAATCTTGAATGTTTGAAATTAAAATGCTGTTCAATGAGTGAAATCAATTATTAACTTTTTTAAAACGGAAAAAAGATGTTTTATAAAAAATTGTGTTTTGAAAATCATTACTTTAAAGATATTAGTTGACTCTCACATAGCTATAATTAAAAGTCCTTGAAAATTCTTCAATACTTTGACCTCCATTTTATTTAAAAAAAACATTTAATAGTTAATAACTTTAAACATAACAATAACAAATGAAAGACTATTAAGTTTTGCAGTGACAATAGCAACTGCATGAAAAGGAATTTAGGGTAATGATTATTTCATACAGTTTAATGTGACAGTAAATACACACACTCTTTATTGTAACTTACTAATATATTTAAATAACATGCTTATTTTACTTTTATTGAAAATGCTTTTATATGTGTAAAAATTTTTATGTGTAAAATTTTTATATGTGTAAACAAATTTTTTGTGTTACATAATTAATGGACTATCTGTAAGAGAAATGCAGTAAAGGTGTAGTAGCTGAGTGCTCCCTTCATAAGCGAGCTGTTCTGTGTTCACTTTCTACCACTCCTTGATATTACTGCACTCAATTTGTTTCTCCACACAACAGCCTTGTTCTTCAAGGTTTGTGATTCAGAGTTATAGAATTGAGAGAGTTTTAAAACCATAAAAAAGTACCCTCCTTGACTGTTGTGGCCTCTCAACCTTGGGGAGAAAAACAAAATTAAAAAAAAAATTAAAATAAGTTTTATTTTATTTTTTATTTTTATTTTAATTCACCTCCTCAAGGCTGAGAAGGCCACTACAGACAAGGAGGCTACTTATTTGTGGTTATAACCCTCTCTCAACTCTATAACTCCGAAGCACAAACCTTGACGAACAAGGCCGCTGCGCGGAGAAATGAGTTGAGCACGGTACTACCAGGGACGTGGTGGGGATCGAACTCGGAACCACTTGTTTATGAAGCGAGCGCTCTACCACTACACCACTACCACATTAAGTTTAATAATAATTAATAACTGTATAGATTATCATAAATTATCTATTTCAAATGTGTTTAAAAAACTTATGACATCTTTGTAAAGTATTTTCAGTCAAAATAACAAATAAAAAAAAAGGTAGCTCTATGCTTGTTTGTGGTTCTATGATTAGTCTAAATAACAGGGAGCTCTATATTTTGTAATCAGATTTGTAATAAAATGCTAGACAAATACTAGATTATAATTGTTGCACCAAAATTATTTAGAAAAAATAAAAACAAAAAGGTAAAATTTTAAATTCAAAAAAAGTTTAAAAAATACCTATGCTTAAAACAACAGCACTAAACAGGCACAATGTAACAAAAAAAAAGTTCATTTTTATTGAAGTATGTTCTAAAGAAAATTTAAAGATTTGTGTTATATATACTTAACATAATAACTATGTGCGTGTTAT